ATGGCAGGCCTCCATGCATAATTTGAAGGAATTTAGACACCGAACGCACGTTGTGTCACGTTCGGCTAGTATTTTAGGGGTTTCTCACCGGGAAAAACCTAGAAAATGCATAAAATGTCAAAACTCAATGAAATTTATCATGGATGCGTGGCATAGTGATGCTAGTGTGTGCAAAAAATTTACGACCATTTAATTGATGTGAAAAAATGGTGCAACCAGACTTGTCGTACCGCCTACGAGAACCACCACGTTTGAACATGGTGTGCTTGTTGACATGCATGATATGACACCAATTTTTCCTAGAATTTGGGCATGCTCATGGCAGGTCTCCATGCAAAAATTGAAGGAATTCAAACACTGAACACGCGTTGCGTCACGTTCGGCTCGTTTTTAGGCTTTTTCGCTGGAAACCCCTAGTAAATGCATAAATGTGAGAACTCAATGAAATTTATCATGGATGCTTGCTTGGTGATTTTAGTGTGTGGAAAAAAAAATTGAGTCCATTTTATTGATGTGAAAAAGAGTGCACCCAGACATGCCCTACCGGTCTACTCGAACCACCACCTTTGTGGTGTGCTTCTTGCTATGCATTAGATGACATCAAATTTTGCCAGGCCTCCATGCAAAATTGGAAGAAATTCGGACACCGAACACATGTTGCGTCACGTATGGCTAGTCTTTTATTGTTTTTTCACCAGGAAAACCCTAGAAAATGCACAAAAGGTCAGAACTCAATGAAGTTTATCATGGATGCTTGGCATGGGTATGTTGTGTGTGGAAAATTTTGGGTCCATTTTATTGATGGAAAAAAGTGCATCCAGACTTATCGTACTGGCCTACCCGAACCACGACATTTGAACATGGTGTACTTATTAACATGCATGATATGACACCAATTTTTGCTAGCATGTGGGCATGTTCATGGCAGGCCTCCACACAAACATTAAAGGAATTCCGACACCGAACGCATGTTGCGTCATGTTCGGCTAGTTTTTTTTAGGTTTTTTCACTTGGATTCTGGGAAACCCCTAGAAAACGCATAAAATGTCATAACTCAGTGAAACTTATCATGGATGCTTGCCTTGGTGATGCTAGTGTGTGGAAAACATTTTGGTCCATTTTATTCATGTGAAAAGAAGTGCATACAAACTTGCCCTACCGACCTACCCGAACCACCACCTTTGAACATGGTGTGCTTCTTTCCATGCATTAGATGACATGAAATTTCGCCAGCATGTGGGCATGCTCTTGGCAGGCCTCAATACAAAATTTGAAGGAATTTCGACACCGGACGCACGTTGCATCACGTTGGGCTGCTGTTTTAGGGTTTTTTCACAAGAAAAACCCTAGAAAATGCACAAAAGGTGAGAACCCATTGAATTTTTATCATGGATGCTTGGCATAGTGATGCTGGTCTGCTAAAAAAATTTGGGTCCATTTTATTGATGTGAAAAAAGTGCATTCAGACTTGCCCTACCGGCCTATCCAAACCACCACCTTTGAACACGGTGTGCTTCTTTCCAAGCATGATATGTCACCAAATTTTTCTAGAATGTGGGCATTCTCATGGCAGACCTCCATGCAAAATTTGAAGGAATTCGGACATCGAACGCACATTGTGTCACACTTTCAGCTAGTTTAGGGGGTTTTCACTAGCAAACCCCTACAAAACACATAAAATGTCAGAACTCAATGAAATTTTTCACAATGCTTGCCTTGGTGATGTTAGTGTGTGGAAAAAAATTTGATCCATTTTATTGATGTAAAAAAAGTGCACCCAGACTTGCCATACCGGCCTACCCGAACTACCACCTTTGAACATGGTGTATTTCTTGCCATGCATGAAATGACATCAAATTTTGCCAACATGTGGACATGCTCATGGCAGGCCTCCATGCAAAATCTGAAGGAATTCGGACACCGAACGCGTGTTGCGTTACGTTCGTCTAGTGTGTTAGGTTTTTTCTCCAGGAAAACCCTGGAAAATGCACACAAGGTCAGAGCTCAATGAAATTTATTATGGATGCTTGGCATGGTAATGCTACCATGTGGAAAAATTTTGGGTCTGCTTTATTGATGGGAAAAAGTGCATCCAGACTTGCCCTACTGGCCACCAGCTGCATATTGCGTCACAATACATGATGGGTGTGGCCCATGGGGTCCATATGGGCTTTGACTTGGATGCTCTGATCCAACCAGCTGTTGGGCTAGACTCTCTTGCCAGGCATTTAAAAAAAAGATTAGATAGATATGGTGATTAAGTTCATGCCTCTGATAAAGCCCTGGCCCAGATGATTTTTATGGTTTTTTTATGAATAAGTGTAGACAAATAGTCTGTGACGACTTCTATAAGCTAGCACATGCTTTTCACTCTGCTAATTTGGCAAACATTAATTCATCTTTTACCAGTCGGGTTCCTAAAAATCCTATCCCTGAATATGTAAATGATTTTAGGCCCATATCTCTTACTAGTGTTGGTCTTATATTTTTACTAAACTTTCTGAAACAGATTTTAGATTGAGATCTTAAGATGTATCCATAAAAACCAATATGACTTTTCTTAGATCAAGGGCTATCCAAGACTGCATTGGCTAGACTTTGGAATATATCCATCAATGTCATGCTTGTAAACAACCAATTGTAATTCCTAAGCTTGATTTTCAGAAAGCTTTTGATTCTATTGAATATGAAATTGTTTTGGAGATAACGAGATGCAAAGGTTTCAATCAGAAATGTATTAGCTGGGTTAAGAAATTATGATCTTCATGTGCATCTTCTATGTTCCTGAATGGGGTCCTTGTGAGGCAATTTATTTGCAAAAGAGGAGTTAGGCAAGGGGACCCTTTGTCTCCTCGGCTATTTGTCTTGGCTATATGTCATGTTTTTGTTTGTAAGCTTTTGATAAATGTTTCCTTCATATTTTTAAACAAGTTAATATTTTAAAACTATTTTAATATATAAATTAGAAAAACCAAACGCAACAACTCATACCAAATCAAGCGACGAAAGCAGAAGGGTTAGTTGCGTTGAAATAATGAAAGGCAAGTTAAAAGGAGAAGAAGGAAAACATGTCTAAGTTGAAATGAGCATTTTTTAAGCTTAAAAGAATGAGCATTTTACATCCACGAGACGAGGCCAAGCCCACAACCGGATGCCACGCCAGCCTGAACTCAAAATGGTCAAAAATACTCAACTGCAGCAGCGCGCTCCCGCCAGCCACTCTACAGCCGCGTTCCTGCACGCGCACCTCCACCAATGCGGCGACGACGGCAACCTCCTCGGCCGCGCCAATGCCGCCGCGCTTATATCCGGCGCGCTCGCCGCCTCCTTGCCCCTCGCCGGCGCGCTCATCATCTCCTACGCTGCGATTGCCGACCTACCCTCCTCCGCCTCCGCCTCCTTCACCGCCCCCTCGGAGGAAGACTGGAACTCACCCTCCCGCGCAATCTCTGCGGCTTCCCTCCCATCCTAAGCTCTGCGCGCTTACAACCCGATGCTCCGCTCCGCCGTGAGCCGGGAACCTTCCCCTTTGTCCTCCACGCCGCCGCTGAGGCGCACTCAGCCAAGGGCCAAGCAGTCAAGCTCCACGCCGCCGCGCTCTGAACCGGCCACCTCACGGACGTGACGCGCGTGGGGTGTTTGATGAAATGCCCGTTCCGGATGTAGTCTCGGCGTTCTTGGCCAACGCAACAGGATGCTAGATGATGCGAGGCAGGCATTGGTTAGTACTGTATGATGGAGAGCGGGCAGCGGGGTCCCTGTGAATGTGGAAAGCTTGGTCTCGGTTATGCCTGCTTCTGCCAGCCTTATAGCTGGATACAGAGTGGCTACGAGCTTTTCTTGTCAGGGATGGTTAGCTGATGGTGCACTTATATGGTGGTACGTAATCTTCCACTAGGAATGCATTCTATTTAGCAACATAATATTACAAGTTCACCCAGCATGATAAATATTGTCATTGTAATAGCGAAGGAATACATACGATGAGTGTGATTGCTTTTAGAAGACTAGTTGTGGATGTCTGCACTGTATGACCTGACAAGAATCACATTAAGATGAGTAAATATTTATTGGCGCCTACACACCTTTGCTTATGGAGTCTAGCCTTGCAATGAAAGAGAAGGTAAGCATTCTCAAACAATTTTTTTTTAATCTCTTGACATAAATAACTTTGAGCAGTTCTGAAGTTCTGTTCAACTCTCTGTGTCCATACAGCCATTGGCATGCTCAATTCATTCTCTGCATAGTAAAGTTCCTTTTGCTAGCTCCTCAACTTTGAATCGTGAATGCACCAGGGATAAGCAAGAATATAATCCTGGTGTGCTAATAGAACAATTTTGTAATCTGTAAAAATATCATGCTCAGAGATGATAGTACAGATGAGTAGGGGCTGAGATGTTAATTTGTATATGGGGAACCTTTAGATAGAAAATAAGCTATGTATCAGTAAACTGTTTTCAAATATCCACATCCCAAATCTGCTGAGTCGTTATTAGCCGACTCCATTTATCCAATGAGCTCATGTCCTAGTAGGTTGAAAGCTCTATGACAGAATTCTCGGTTTGACTACTTGGTACAGAAGTTGGCCACTGGTACATCGATTGTGAAGCACCGTTTGCTTAAGTCACAGCTAACTGATGTAATCAGCTTGTTTTATGTAAGTCAAAAGATCAGTTAACAAGGGCACACACATATGTATGTCTTCGTCAAATCGGTCGTCTAATGTGAAGATTGCATATCGGTTATCTATACCACCAAACAGACTAGCAGTTATGTATTCCCCTGAATTTCACAACATAAAGAAAAAAGCAACCAGGAACATATAAATAATCAGAGTTTAAGGTAGGATGTAAGAGGTGTAGTTTCTGCACTCACAATTAGCTGATGAGGATCATTTCACCGGCAAGACTAGCCCACCATATTGTGGTACTCTTCATCGGGAGATGTCTTGTAAACACCCAAGCTACCGCTATACTATGTTAAGTTATACGTCAAATTTCCTAGGTTCTCCTGTCCCGCAACTGCACCTCTAGCGCCACCACTTGTTTCTTAAGATGATCAATTATTGTTTCCAATTCAACCTTTTCTGCTTCTCGAGCTTGAGACGCCTCTCTAATCATTTCCGTTGTTCCGACTTCCCGTCCTGGTTGGAAAATTACTTGACCTGCATTGGTGGCTCTTGAATCTCTGACCTGAGCATCTTTCACCCGCTCGAATGGTCTAAGATAGTAGAGTGTTTTAGTAGAAATGACTCTCTTGCCCAGTTCATTATTTCCATGTGCTAGACCATTATAAGATGCATCATCATTGTTTCCTAGAAAAAGGAAGAGGAAAAGTATGCATTAACCTTTATACAGTCTTTAAGCGACTCCATTGCTAGATATGAGGATGAGATATTTTCATGTGCTATTTCATTACCTTTGAAAACAGTTGAGTTTTGTCTGTCCACCTTCGCTCTCTGATCTCCCTCTGCCATTACATTGCGTGCCTGCATTTCATCAATGCGTCCTTCTAAGACATCAACATTAGTTTGAACATTAATGGCATGAGTTACTTTATTAACTGGTCCTTGTCTGAGGGTGCTATCACTTTGGGCAGCAGGAAGCTCATAATCACAGTTTTTTGGCACCATGATATCCTTGGACTCGCTGCAGTCCTGCTCATCTCTTCTTATGGTGACCAGATGTCGTTCGAATTCTTCATTTGGCCGATCTGAGTTGGATGTTGCCATCGTCAACTTGGACAATTCCATATAAATTGCGCTCGCCTCGCTATCCTTTCTGAATATTTCATCCAACTCATTACCACTGATAGCCAAGATGTCTGGAAGATTTGAATACATGTCCGCTCCAATTGCAGCTCCAATGCCTTTGTTGCTTCTAGCGCTCGCTGCACCCTTGACTTCACCATGTTCTGAACTGAGATTCTTTTCATCATACGTAACAACCGAGCCTGATGCTTGCTTTTGAAAATGCTCATTCTTGGTGACCGGCCCACACAGTGGTTTATCAAATTCACTCACCAAAATTGCCTCTGCATCAGAGATAGCTTTCTCAGCAACTTTGCGTGAAATTGCCCTACGCCTACCTTTTCCTGCCCATCTTGGCACAAAATCCTTCACGGTTTCTGAATTTTGCTTTGCCGTGTCATCTTCCAGAATATGCGTCTCTTCCAGCAGAATCTCGTCCTGCTCTGTATCATCTTGCAGGCTCATCCCAGCCTCCAAGTGCCGCTTTTTACCGCATCCTACAACAGTAACATGAAGTTGTTTCATCCTTGCAGCATTAGCAATGGCAGCAGCGCATGCCGACGAGTATTGCTGCCACCATTGTGCGTATTCAACCGTCACGCCCGGATCGCGCTGCGGAACGAAGAGCGAAACATTTTCAGGCTGCATCTTGTATGTCGCCCACGCCGTCTTTCGACTTGAGTTGGCACGGGCAACAGTCCCAGGCACGTCCTGGTCGAAGCCGAGCTGCCTTGCGACGCGGTGCGGACAGTACTGCTCGATGCATTGCATGCCGACAAGTTCGCAAGGTCGGAGGCATTGCGCGAAGGATTGCAATTCCTTGCTTGTTGCTACTTCATGGCAGTGCACCCAGCAGCCACCCTTGCCTGGTGGCAGAGCAATGCTACTGCCTCCGTAAGGCCTCCATTGGAATGCCTCCGGGGACATGAACACTGCATGGATGTGCCCAGGGTCAAGCATCCTTCTGATATTGTACCACTTGGCAGCCCTCGGCATGCCGGGATCGCCATCGTGGGAGTTGATGGCAGGGCAAAGCTCCGGGAAGCGCTCCCAGACCCATAGCTGGAGGATGTGCAGTGGCGCACTGGCCACGAACGGCTGATGGCTGGCGCCCAAGCTTAAGTGGTGACTGAGCGCGGAGAGGTCATTGTAGATGTTGGCAAGTACGGCAGGTGCGAGGGCCGAGCACCTGCCGCGCGCCAGTCCGGCGGCGAGGGGGAGCACGTCCGCTCTGACCACGTCGAATGACTCCACCGGAAGCACGTATCTGGTCAACCACATGGCCAGAAACGCCCCGTGCTCGAGCAATGTGGCCACCTCGGCCTCTCCTCTGCCGTCGCCAGCGGCACCGGCACCGGCACCGGCACCGTTCTCCTCGATGAAGTGCTTAATCCACAAGGTATAATTGACTTTCTTGCTCTTGCTCCAGTTGAGCGCGATCCGGACGGCTTCGAGCGCGTCCACGTCCCCGCGGAGCTCGTCCGGGAGCCGCGACCACACCGGCCCGCCCAGCAGGGGCAGGCCCCCGAGCACGGCCATGTCCTCCAGCGTCACCGTGGCCTCACCCCACGGGAAGAGGAACGTGTTGGTCTCGCCGGACCAGAAACCCGCGAGCTGCAGCAGCAGGTCCTCGTCCCACCGCACCCAGCCCGTGGTCGCGAGAAGGCCGTCCAAGATCCCAAGCTTCCGCCACATGCGCTCGTGCCGGGGGCGAAGCTTGGCCACCCACCGCCTCCACAGCTTGGAGCAGCCGGGCCAGTCCGTGCACTCCACCGTGAGCTCGTCGGCAGGAGGAACAGGGTCGGCATTGCGTGGCGGGGGTGGCAGAGCGGGGACGGGAGCAGCCCCCGCGCGGGGGAGGAGGAAGTGGGCGGATCGGGCGGTGGGGCTGGAGGGGTCGGCGCCGGAGACGATCGCGGCGGTGGATTCCTGCACCAGGAGGCCGCGGAGCTCGTCGTCGGTGGACATTGCGGTGGGGTTTCTGGGTTGGGTTGGGTTGGGGTTTTCACGGCAGGAGAAAGGGAGCAGAGCCGAGCAAAGGCTGTGTGGAGTGTGGAGTGTGCCGTGTGGTCAGTGGTGCTTCTCCGCAGGCGCAGGGTGGGGGAAAGTGAATGCGCGTCAGCAATTTCCCTACGCGGAGGAGGAGCTTGCACAGGACAGGAGTAGTTGTAAATGTTGCCATGCCCATGCTATATGCTATGCTATGCTGGGGGTGGTGGTGGTGGACAAGGACAAGGAGGCGGGCACTGATGTGACGGGTGGCAGACGAACTGGGCTCTGGCTGATGCAAGACTTGATCCGCGCGGCGGGACGTGCCATCGGAGGTGAAATTAGGATCTCATTTCTGGTGCATCGATGGTGTTGAAGCAATCCTACAACAGACCGGAAAGGTGACAAGTTCTCAGCATAAAACCCGCGCAGACGCATAAACTTTCAGAAGAAATACCGATTCACTCTAAATCTGACTGTCAGATTTTTGGAGGCTCTTGCTTTGTTTCTCGCAGATTCTCATCCACCAGTACAGCTGCAAACTGAATAATTGGACACTTTTACAGAGCCCACATCTCAATCACTTGTATTTCCATCTACTACTCCTATATTTTATGACAAACAACGCAGTATTTCCACTCATTTTTTTTATGAGAGCCCACATCTCGATCACTTGTACTTCCACAGCCGGATGCTCTATGTTCTGAATATTGCCCCTGCCTACCTTACTTCCTTTCCTGATGCTAAGATACACTCCAACATTTTGAGATTGCTAGCAAATACAAAGTGAATGTGATTGGGAGGAAAGAAGCGAAAATCCTTTTTGGAGGCCGAGCTCCAATGAGGCCGTTTTTTGAAAAATTCAAAATTCATATTTTTACATTTCATAAAATTCTGAGAAAAAAATATAGATATACATGGAGGCATAATGCACAAGTGTGTAAATTTTCACGGCAAAGTACATTGAAATGAGGGTCGTGCAAAAATGATAAATCTGAGACTTTTTAACACATGATAATCCTCCTAGGTCATGAATTTGTCTTTTTTGTACAAATCACATTTCAAGGTATTTCATCCTAAAATTTTACACACATACGCATAACATCCTTGTTTACTTATACACAAATTTTGAGATTTTTTTGAACCTCGAAATTTTGAATTTTGAATTTTTCAAAAAACCGGCCTCCATGGAGGCCGAGAGCCAAAACGCCTAACTCCCGGATTTTGTAGTTTAAATAAGTTAATATGGGTGGAGTCTGACATTTCTTAGTTATAAGTTATTATGGGTGGAGTCGGACATTTTGGTGATCATTGTATAGTAACACAGTGCCATAGTCCAGCCAATATCGAGTACTCCCTCCATTCTTTTATTAAAGTGTATTATTTGCACAATGACCAAGTGAATTAATTATAGATAATTAGGATGAAATTGCCCTTGTCTAATTCATTGATTAGCGCAAAGTAAATCATTTAGGCTAGCAAAGAAAGTGATACATGCAATCGGGAGACATATAGTTTCCATTTTTCTTCTATAAGAAGAGATATATGCAATCAGGTGAGAAATACTTTTCTTTTTCTGGAGAGCCAAGAACGAAATTACGAGGAGTTAGAACAAATGCACCTTACATAGAATTTTATCAAAAATAAATAAATAGACCTAATATAAAGGAACATATAAATGAACGAGGAGAGTATTTAACAAAATATTAACACTTTGGGGGTTCCTGTTCCATTGAACTATCACTTCCTTTAGTGGTAAACTGTGCTCAAACTACAACTTTCAATTCATAACCGTTTCAAACCATTTAGGCGTGTTTATAACAGATGGGACCCACCCGTCAGGGTTGACGTGGCAGGAAAGTCAACTCCAGTTTTTAGACTATTATGACATGTGGGGCAACATCAACCTTCCTCCTCCTCTCTCTCCTTTTTTGGCATTTCAACAAATACCTTCTATGCATGGGAGGGAAGCAGGTGAGCTTCACCATTTGCATCGGGCGTGGAGGCCGTGGGACCATTCTGTGGCCGATGCCACCAGCCAGGTGCGGTTGCTGCCCACGACGGACCCCGAGCGCCGCCATGATGCACCAGCAGCAACACCACCAGCTGGAGCATAGCGCCGTCATCCGCCATGGATCTGATACAAAGAGAAAGCGACGGATTGGGAAGAGGAGTGGACGGAGAGAGTGGAGTGGACTGAACGGATTGTGGTCTAGGGTACATCGAAGGGGATATTTATGGGGTCGGAGTGGGCCGGGCTGACGTGGCGGGCGCGCCCGAACATGTTCGAGCCGTCTCATATCCGCCCTACATTTGTGTTGCATATGAGGGGCGTCAGACAGCCTGAATGTTTAAGGTCGGTTTAAGGCATCCGGGTGGCTCTTCGCGGCTGAAGGCCCTCGGTCTTCCCATCGGGAAGTGCACGCGACCACATCGTTACAGGCGCTGGCATGCGATGCATGCTCCTGGAGAACTTCATCGATCAGGAGAACATCTATATGATTTGGTCTTCCTACGATCTAATAACTGGTTCTCAATTATGCATAAGGAATCGCTTGTGAGCATGGCCAGAAGAATCGATCGCTATGCAAGCAGAACCGAAAGAAATTCTTCAGGAAGGAAGAAATCTGCACAGAGGAGGACAGACAGGCATTGGCCTCCACTGATCATAGAAAATACTCCCTCCGTCCGGACAACTATTTTCGGACGGAGGGAGTAGAAGAGAACAGGAGAGACAAAAGGTGAGAAAGGAAAACGATGCATGTGAATCTTCTTTCCCTGTTTCTTCGCCTTCTTCGCAACGACGGCTGTGGCCGCCGTTTCATCGTTCGCCACCGCCGCCATAGTATTGGCGGACTCCGCTGCTTTCAGCGTGAAGTGCGCGGTCATCATCGTTCTTGACGACGACGAGCACGTGGCCACGCCGCTGCCATCTCTGACCTCCGCGGTCGTCGAGGTCGCCGCCTATCACGCGCTCGCCTTCGTGTCCGTGCCGACCGGGACCTCCGGCGTCGATGCCGATGCTGCCTCGCGGTCCCAGACGCCCGCGCACAGGCGCTCGCCGCCGTCTCGTGGCCCTCGCCGTTCAGCTGGAGAGCCCGCTGTGAAAAATGTAGTATGGCTGAATATTGTTGTTGTATTGATCTGACCCTTGTGTAGGGTATATATAGGAGTATAAGAGAGGTAGAGACTTGGAGTACAAGACAAGTTACACGTGGTTTAAACTAATTATATCTCTATCTCCTTATCTCTAACTTAAACCCAATTATATTTCTAACATTCCCCCTCAGTCGTAGCGGGAGTGAAGCGGACGAGTATGACTGAATTTGAAGTCTTGCGCTTTCGTCGTCTTCTCCGCTGCGCCATCATCAACTGCGTCTCTGATAGGTTGGCACCTAGGGCGGTGACTGTGTCCCCTTCTGGTGCCTCCCTTGACTCTCCTCTATTCCCTCCCGCAGTCACAGCGGAAGTGGCATGAACGCTGGTGATGACGCGGACGCTGTTGACTGGAGTTGTTGGCGATGAGTTGCTGTAGACGTAGCCATTAATGTCGTGGTAGCCGATCATGGTGATGTAGCCGTGGTCGAGGGTGTGGTCGTCGTAGATGATGAAGCCACACAAAGCCGGAGGCGCAAAAAAATGCGCTATGACAGAGCTGCAGACGTGGACGATGCACCTTGTGGATGTCAGAGGGTGTCGTCGGCGATGAGTCCACCGGTTTTGCCAAGACCAGAGGAAGCCCATCGAGCACACATCGGTTTTGCCAAAACCGTATGGCCGTGTACGGTCGTCACTATAGTGATGCCGTGTCGATGCAGTCTTGCCGTCGTGGATGACGCGGTCGATGCCGTCGTCGTGACGCGGTCATTGCCGTCGTCGAGGTCGCGTCTTGCAGAAAAGTCTGTCAGAGGACGCTAGGTGTCCATCTTGTGGACTAGCGTCCATCTTGTGGACGAGGTGGCGGCGGTGTGTTGATGATGATGATGATGATGATGATGATGATGATGATGATGATGATGATGATGAAGACCATAGTGATGAAGACCTTGACGATGAAGTGTCGGCGATGGCGTCGCAGTGGCATGTCGATGATGATGCGTCACTTGAAGGCGTCCCTCCATAGCGACGAAGTGTCGACGCCGTGTCGTGCCAAAGAAGTATGTTGCTTGTAACCTGGCATAGTCGTACAACTTCATGTTGATTATGTAGCTCGCTCGCTGGAGGAGTTGATCGCTCCAGGTGCAGTAGGTTGATGTAGATAGCTCCCGGTGCAATGAAGTCGATCGCTCGGTGCAGAAGTAAGGTCGATGCAGTGGCGCGGGTTGCAGATCGGTCGATGGAGATGTTGGTGCAGTTTCGGCAGTCGGTGTAGATGTGTATGGGAGTTCGCCCTCCCGTGATTCATGGTACCTGGTATTGTGGAGGCGTCGTGCACAGCAGCTGCTAGGGTTTGCTCGGACTATCTTGCGGCTGGCTCGTCGATGGATCGGCGCGCGCGTGTAGTCGAGGATGAGGTGTACGCTGATGGATCGAAGATGGCTGGTGGTGTACACCTATATGGAACGAAGCCGGCGGGTGCTTCTGGTGCCTTGATGCCTTCCCGTGGTGATGCATGCACGGCATCTTGTTCTGCACGTGGATGGATGCACTTTGGCGATGAAGCTGGAGGCGATGCAGCCGTGTTGTCGATGCAGATTGGATTGAACCCAATACGCGTGTGTCGTCGTCCCGCAGGCACAAGTCGATGCAGGTGCGGTGAGAGGGACCCGAGGTCGATGTGGAAGGCCGTGCATGCTGCTCGTTCGGATCGAAGCATCCGCACGTCTTGTCGTAGTCACCGCTGATTCTGCACTGCTTTCATCTGAATTTGAGGCTCGTCGGATTATTTGTGACGAAAAAAAATCAATCTAGTAGAATTTTAAAAATTGAAATTCATCTAGTCTAACTTAATAACTAAAAGAACCGATCTAATCTTTGAT